CATGTCATGTAATTTGTAGACTGTCCCTTGGAGATCGCTGACGTCTTCACCAGCCATGGAGAGCAATGTTTTATCCCGCATTTGAAAGACAACGACTCTAAAAGAAAACACAGTTGTAGATCATAGTTATACATGGTAGTAATAATAATAATCTCATACGAACCTTTTTGCACAGACGGTAAGGAAGTTATTGAAATCATAACTTCGAATATGTGAATATGAAACATACGGAGTTCATTAAGAACTGAGCGATTTTATGTTTTTGTATGTTCGTGTAAATGATTGTTTCGATGTTTGCAGTGATAATGTTGCTGTTAGTCTTGAGATCTATGAGGGGAATGAATGCGAACCAATTTAAAGTAGTGCTGCTGCGATTTTATTGATAATGTTATTTCTCATTTGAGATTTTTCTTTGGCAGATCAAATCTGTTTGCGCTATAAAGTTAGTTTTAAGTTCTATGCCTTAAACTAATGCTTGTACATAACTAATAAAGTTATTTGACTGTTTTCCTTCATTATCCTTTGAAATAATATGAAATATGTCTTCAAACATTAGGAAAAAAGTAGTTTCCTACGCATTTAACGTTACACAAATGACGGAAGAGTCAGAGTTAGCAGAGACGTTTATTATGTGTCCGAGTTTGGCTGTACGGGAGTTTGGGTAAAGTACCATACGGTAATCGCTTTACTTTTCTTTAATTTTAAGGAATTTGACATCAGCATTGAGCTCATTTATGACTCCGGCGCTTCTCCGTCAGAGGCCAGCCGCACCGAAAAAGGTAAGAAATGCATTAAATATGAGCGGATTGAATTGTATACCTGTATACATAACGTTTTTCATTATCTGTAATGCAACTCCTCAATGATTTAAAGTTACTGCTTGTATACAACGTAAATATACTTGTCTTTTATTTAATTATGTGTTGAAATTATATGAAATATGTCTTTAAACATTTGGGAAAAAAGTTTATCCTAAAGCATTTCCATAAATTAATGAGTTAAATTTAGCTAAGCGATTATCGAGCAGTTTTTATAATTGAAATTTTCTGAAGAGCCACGATTGCTTTATATGATAAACAGTTTGAATTTAGCATTTTATTCACATATATAGTCATGTGGTAATTGCTACTTTTTTGCTGTAATTTTAAGCAGTTTGACGTCAAAATTGAGCTCTCATTGAGACTGGGGCACTACTGAACTATTATCATGTGAGGAGCAAGGGACAAGACTAAAATCTTCTCCATCAGAGACCAACTGCCCTGAAAAAGGTAAGAATCACATATGACCACATTGATGCTGGAATGTTGTAAAGGCACTATTGCAATGGGGTATAAATGAAATATAATTACTATGTTCCTACTTACCAGTTAACATTTAGTTTGTGCTTATTTTTCTTTATTTCAGTGGACAAGTAGTCGTTTTAGAATATAATAATAATAATAATAGAATAGAATAATAATAAAGCAATAAATCAATCTAAAGAAATAATTTCAATGAAATGAAATAAATGAAATGGAATGAAAGTAGAATCTTTGTCCGCTTACACTGTTTTTACTTCACAGGATCTGGATGACGAAGATGCCTTGCAAATCCAAGAAGATCCAATCACGCCCCATCAACAATCCCACACCTCTGAAATGAAAATTCTGTCATTTACTCGTTTGTCACTCCAAACCTGTAAGACTTTTTTTCGTCATCAAAACACAAATGAATATATTTTAAATGAAATCTGACAGATTTCTGTCCCTCCTTTGACAGTCCATGCAACTACCACTTTGATGCTTTGAAAAGTTCATAATCGAGCAGTTTTTATAATTTAAATTTTCTGAAGAGCCACGATTGCTTTATATGATAAACGGTTTGAATTTAGCATTTTATTCACATATATAAAACTGATCAGTGA